TTAAGAAAGGATTCATAAACTAAATCAATATATCGNGGGGGAATTATCCCCCTTCAGCTTACCTTGTTGGATGACGTCATTAACCTCATTACTCTTTAGACTTGTCAAATATATTATGAATGGAATCACGGAACATGATTTATATATTTTATACAAAATAGGAAATTATGATAAGAGAGGCAGAAAACCGGGAAACAATGGTTCTAACAGTATGGAAGGAAGAAAGGAGGGAGAATGTACTAGAACCCGCAAACAACAACCCTTTACTTCACTTTTCACTTTCAAGCTGTTTATCTGAAATAGAACTGTCAGATTGATTAAAAATGTTTTGAGCTGGTACTGAAGGACTTTATCTTCTCAAACATATATTTATTTCGTCCAACCCTCCTTTTCTTCACCCCCGACCTTCTCAAACATACATTTATTTCGTCCAACCTTCCTTTTCTGCACCCCCGACCTTCTTAAACATATATTTATTTCGTCCAACTTTCCTTTTTTGCATCTCCACCCTTCTCAAACATATATTTATTTCGTCATACCTTCCTTTTCTGCACCTCCACCCTTCTCAAACATATATATATTTCGTCCAACTTTCCTTTTCTGCACCTCCGACCTTCTCAAACATATATTTATTTCGTCCAACCTTCCTTTGCTGCACCTCCGACCTTCTCAAACATATATTTATTTCGTCCAACCTTCCTTTTCTGCACCTCCACTCTTCTCAAACATTTATTTATTTCGTCCAACCTTTCTTTTCTTCACCTCCGACCTTCTCAAACATATATTTATTTCGTCCAACTTTTCTTTTCTGCACCTCCGACCTTCTCAAACTTTATAGCGAGGGACCATCTATGAAATTATTGTGTACTTTATCATTTAATGCCAATTCATGGTGAACTTTACTATAGACGTGCCAGAAAGACATAATAACCGCCAGGCTGTGCTTTAAACAATGTCAAATTAGTTGTACTATATATTATTGTTCTTATATAAGGCTTAATTCATGAGAAAAACTTAGGATATTTCTAGAAAAAAATATCAATTTAGAAACTTCTTATTCATTATTATCTATTTGTTAATAAGAATTTAAAAGAAACATGACCTAAAATTGAAAAGAACCCCGAACCATAATTATTGTGTTTATATTCAATATATATTATTCTAATAGTTATAAATATGTTTTCACTATTCTCGTTATATAAGGGAAGGAAGGCCAGCCGCAAAATATTTCGGCCGAGCCACAGTATCCTCATTTTCTTGTCCGAGCCACCGCGAAATCTTTGTCCTTCGATTATTATGTGGCTTAATGTTTCCAATTTTCGAAGATGAAACCTTTCTTTAAAAATCTGACCACGTTAGGCATAAAATTTGGATAGCTAGACTAAAGTATTGCAATGATTACATCATGTTGGAATATTTAAACCCATGAAAATGATGTCAAACTTAAATCTCTTCTGTCTCTGTAATGGCTAACCTTCGCGATATAAAATTGATAGAAAAATATTTCGCATTCCTCTTTTTATCATTTTCCCAATTAAACAACCGGGAAAAAATCGATCGTTTTCATAATTAAAGGGAGAAATTGTTGTGGTTGGCCTTCCTCCCCTCGTTATACCGTTTTCGGAAGAAAATCATTTGCGAAAGTCGTCTTACTTTTTAACAGACTCGGAACTTCTAAACATTATTATCCATATATACTTAGCTTGTCTGTTTGTCTGTCTGTTTGTTTTAGTATCCAATGAACGTCAAAACGACTAATCCGATCGGGCCCAACTTTTGTGTGGGACATCACGTGACTGAGAGAAGGAAGGCCAGCCACAACAATTTCTGGTCCGAGCCACATTCTCAACATTTTCTCGTCCGAGCCACGTCCTAATCCTCGTCCTTCGAATATAATCTTTTTAGGATGTCCAATTCTCCAAGATAAAATAATTTTTTAAGAATCGTGCCACATAGGGCATAAACTAAATATTGAATTTATGTATACGGAAGAAAAATAATTTCAATTGAATTAAGGTTTTTGAGTTCAATGTCCTTACAAATGTTCACCTTTTTTACGCGCATTTTCAGATAATCTAGGTGTAGAATGCAGCAAATAATTCCAAGTTTATAGAACTTAATTTTTTTTGTTAATTATAGCGAAAACCATAGAATCTTTTCGGGTGGTTGCCCCATGGGGAAAATGATAGGCAGATGTATGTCAAATATTTTGCCATTCTCAGATTAAAGATTTCAACATGATGACGTAATCATTTCAATACTTTAGTCCATCCATATTTTATGCTCTAACGTGTTCAGATAAAAAAAATGTTTTATCTTCAAGAATTAGAAACTTTAAAACGCATAATACGTGAAGGACGAGGATTTCAAGGTCGCTCGGACCAGAAAATGAGGATAATGTGGCTCGGACAAGAAATTGTTGTGGCTGGCCTTCCTCCCCTGCGTAACCCCAGGGAAGGTTTATGAATGATCAAAATTTAAAAAATTTGCCTCCAACAAAATTTTATTTCCCGCATTTTGAGTAAAATTCTCTATATTTCCAGTAATTTTGAAAGCACATAAAAGGCAGACCATAAAATTCGTGGATTTTGAAAATTTATTGCGACAATCTTGATTTTATTTAATAGATTAATATCTGAACCAAATTCTTAATGTCTCCGGTAATATTAAAAGTACAAAAAAGGTAGACCACATTTGGGATAAACTAGGAATATGAAAACTTTGTAATTAATATTTCAAGGATCGTTCATTTTACCTACTGGCAACACCTTTAAGTACGACGTTTAACTGGGTGAAAAAGCAATTAGTTCCAAATTTTTTGAAAAAATATTCTTCAGGGGCGGATTAGAGGGCGGGAGGGCCTGGGCCCTTGGGCCCCACCCTGAGCTCCTGGAGAGAGGGGGCCGGCCCCCCTTGAGAAATTTATGATATGAAATAAAAGCATCAAGGAATAAAAGACACAGCAAAAATAGAATTCAATATGACCTGAAATACCTGTTAAAATTGTTTTCTCATTTTATTATTTATACTAATATGCCTGTAAAATTACAGAAAGTGGGAGAACTGGAGTTTACAGATAGAAAGTAAGAGAACTGGAGTTTAAAGATAAAAAGTAGGAGAACTGGAGTTTACAGATAGAAAGTGGGAGAACTGGAGTTTACAGATAGAAAGTAGGATAACTGGAGTTTACAGATAGAAAGTGGGAGAACTGGAGTTTACAGATAGAAAGTAGGAGAACTGGA